CCACCCCTCAGCCTCCAAGATGCAAGATACCACTCTGGCAAGGTGTCTCCACTGTTCCTCCATGATACAGTAGGTTCTCAAGCACCCAGTCACACTTCCACTGTCCACCTGCCCTCACAGGGCTAGGGCTGCTCCAAAGGCCCAGGACTGGGCAGCATAAAGACACAGAGAAATAGGGACAGAATGGGGGTGGTGGGTCCAGACATCATTTTTCACCCATCTAGTGGCCCAGTCACTAAAAAGGACATAATAATCTGGCAAATATATGCTCATTTACCACCACTGAACCCAGTCCTGTGCAGTGAGACCCCTGAGACCAGGAGGGAAGAATTCAGCTGCTGAAGAAACCTTGAAGGCCAGGGCTCTTCCTCCACTGGCCACCCACAGTGTCTCCAAACAGTGTTGTATGGCCCCTCTACAGAGGACACTGTGGCCCAGAATAAAAACTATGAGAACTCAGAGCTCCTACTGTCCTGTCTGAGCTTGGTCAAGCTGCTGATAGGCATTACTGGAGCAAGGTGAGGGGCACATTAACACCCATGATACCCTATTGTGTTTTTAAAATTAGCCAAAACAATCTGGAAAACAAAGGGTAGTGATGGATATTTCACTACCAGAAAATCAACACTACTTATAAAGTCAAAATACCTAATATGGGATAGACCAGACCAGATTCTATTGATTTGTAAGGCTAAGATGGCACTGAGTGGTTGATGGCCCGGGTAGGTCCATGCCTTGTGGAAAAAAGAGAAATGAGATCCTCTACTACTTGAGATATAACAGGTTATGCTCTGGAAAACACAAGCCCCCAACCTAGCAGCTTAACACATCAAAAATTTATTTCTTGCTCATATTACATATCCATTGAAGTTGGCAGAAAGGCTCTGCCCATCACAGGCCCTTGATGAAGATAACAGACTCTCCTTCCACCAGTCACACTGACAAATAGACTCCAAGTTTAGTACAAAAGACAACACATTAGATAATGTCTTTGAACTCCCATGAAGGAGAAAATTTCTTAAATTTAAGTAATAAAAAGAGCTCCACAGACATAACAGCTGAGCATTGCTATTCAAGGGCAGAAGAGACTCAGCAATCCCATGCCTCAGCACAGGCACCAGGGTCTGAAGAAACCTTGCACAGAGCCACAGAGGGCTCTCATAGTAGCAGTCCAAAATTGTGAAAATGAAAAACAAAACCAAAGAACATTGTTATTAGCTGAATTGTGTCCCCCTAAATTCTTATGTTAAAGTCCGAATACTCATTTCATCAGAACATGACTCTATTTGGAGATGAGGTCTTTAAAGAGGTTATTAAGGTAAAATAATGTCACTAAGGTGGGCCCTGATCCAATATGCCCAGGGTCCTATAACAGATTAGGAAAGACTATGTGAAGACATAGAAAGAAGATAGCCATTTACAAGTCTCAGGCCTCAGGACAAACCAACCCTGCCTGCTCCTTTATCTTGAGCTTCTAGTTTCCAAAATTGTGAGGAAATAAATGTCTGTTGCTAAGACATTGGAGGTTATTTTTTTTTTCGGTTGTTGATGGACCTTTTTTTTTTTAATGTTTCATATGTTGCTAGTTTTTTTAATATTTAATATTTATTTTTTTTAGGTGTAGATGGACACAACACAATGCCTTTATTTTTATGTGGTGCTGAGGATTGAACCCGGGTCCCGCCCGAGCTAGGCGAGCGCTCTACCACTGAGCCACAATCCCAGCCCCCCCTTTATTTTTATTTACTATTTATGTGCAGTGCTCCCAACCCCATTGGAGGCTTTTGTCATTGCAGCACAATCTAACTGATGCTGACAGACACTGCAGGGGTAAACAGTTTAATTTGCTTTATCCCTTTATTGTTGGATCCGTGGGCTATCCTAGTTTTGCTGATAATAGTGCAATGACACCCACAAGGTAGTCACAAGGGTTTGCTCAGGCTCTAGGCAAAGCCCTGTAAGAACGTGATCTTCATTAAACCCTCCTGAATGCCCAAGGAGGACAAAATATGTTAATAGTTCAGAGAGGTAAGTTGAGGAGGCCAGGTGTAATCAAGCACAAGTCTACCCTTGGAACTCACATACTATGGTCGCACTGTGCCACAACTACCTGTGGCATGAGCCTCCATGCATATGGGCAAGTGATCAGAGTACATGTATATGTACTTAGAACTGTTATGGATAGAACTGAAGGGTTTTATATACCCATCCAATAGCAAGACAAAGTCTGCTTTTCCATACCTTCATTTACCTTTAGCAATTCTGCCTATCTAAAACTTTTAAAATCCTGGAATCATAAGAAAAAAATCCATAATTTTCTGACTTTTTAAAAATGTTGCTACCTTGATATCTTTAATCTATCTGGAATACACACTGGCACCAAGAGGTAGTAAGTATCCAGTTTACTATTTTCCAGATGGCGAATCAGTAGTGCCAACTGCTTTACTGAACAACTCACTTTACTTCCCATTAATTTGAAATAATTCAACTATGTACTAAATTTTCATATTTATGTGGCTCTATTTCAGAGTTCACTATTTTCTATTCATCTCTCCATATAGATACCCAAGACTTTAAATAATATAGTTTTATAACATTAACATGACCTTTTATTCTCAGTACTTCCTGTTTTAAGATTTTCCTTAAAGACAGATACTTGGGGGAAAAAAAAAACCCAACCAACCAACCCTATGCTAGTACCTTTCACATCTTATTTTAGGGAATAAAACCTATGTGTATTTCCAAGGAAAATGAGAAACAGACATTAATGTGAAAATGAAAAACAAAACCAAAGAACATTGTTATTAGCTGAATTGTGTCCCCCTAAATTCTTATGTTAAAGTCCGAACACTCATTTCATCAGAACATGACTCTATGGAATGATCCTGGAAGGCAGGATCAGTACCTAGGTCCATCCCTGAGAATGTCTAGCAAACCCTACCAGGCTTTGCAATTTCCAGAGAACTCTCCTCTGGGTCATCTGCCCTGTATGCAGGTGGCAGCAGGAACAAATGACCCAAGGCCTCCTTACATGCGCCATGCATGATGCATAGCCTTCTCTCCTAGCCTTTGGTTGCCTTCTTTCCCAAGGAGTGGTAAAGCAGCTCAGTAACTGCCTCTCACCAGCAGGTACAGCTGCTTCTGGTAACAAAGTCACTTTACAACACTGTATACACCACCTGTGTAGGACAGGCTATAGCCCCCCAATTCTTTCCTCTATACCATTGCACAGGAACTCTGAAATGGACAGTCTGGCTCCTGCTGCTGCAATGCCCCCACTCCTTTCCTTTTAGAGAAGAACCCAATCACAATGAATAGGACCCATTTCCCAAATTAAAAACAGGTCATACGGACTCTTCTAAACACTTGTCTTCCCTGCCTATTGATAGAGATGCCACAGTTAACACTTAGAGGTATGGTGGACTATAAGTTACCCTGGCAGAACAGGGGAAAGCAGGAAAGATAGGAACTTTAAGCTGAAGGTGCATCAAATGGAAGGCAGTTGTACAGAAGTCAGCAAAATGGTTAGAGGTCAGCTGGATGACTGAGCTGACCATTCAAGTAGCTCCAAGTTCTACAGAGACATGGGCAGGCCAGGCCACAGGTGGTTGAAGAGGTATAAGAGAACAGTCTGTCCTGGCCCTGAGCAATCATATGGTGGGACAGCTGTGTGACCCTGAAAAGGACAAGGATTGGGCCAGGATGTCTAGAGATTTCTAAATCTGAATCAAGAATGCATATCAGTTTCTTCTGTCAGGTTGCTTGTTTTCCTTCAGGTTCCTAAAAATAGCTTTTCACCTATTCCAAGATTTCCTGCTGTACCTTGAAATAATATACATAAAACCACCTGAACCCAGAGCCTTTTAAAAGTAAGTTATGAAATAAAATAATACCAACATCTATTTTTCTGAAAATATCTTACCAGATGTTTGCTTATTACCATTTTTTTCCTTAAAAAAAATAGTTGTTTTCAATTTGTCTTTTTTCATCCTACTTTCTTACTTTTCAGGAAGATGTCCTGATTTTTTTTCCCCAACAAAGGTAAAAACAGAAGAGTTTTGAGATTTTGTGCAAGCACCTGAGTAGATACACACTGTACACTGGGATGACTGAGCCCCCATCCTCAGGTAACCTTTGCTTAAGGAAGCTTCCACACTCAGCTCTCATTAGAAACCATCCTGTGCAAAACAGGTCTTTCTTCATTCCAATCTCTGGCCGAGGGACACCAAATTCTTAATCTCATGCCTGCTCCTCACTTTACCTACAGCCCTCAGAAGTCAGTTCTCAAGGCCACCCTTCATCTGCCAAGCCTCCCAACCCCACCCATTAGGCCCCAACTCCTCCCACCAGATCCCTCAATCCTGAGGTATTTTGTGGGAACCACACCTGTGACACTGACCTGGAATGCTTACAGCTGGGCATTCTGTTGACAAAACAAAGACTCTATTCAGCAGCAACCACCACATCACACATTTAGCAATGGATCCAACACACGTTTAATGAGCACCAATTTTGTACCAGGGACACAAAGCTAAGACTAACGTCCCTGCCCTAGAGGCTCACAGTCTGCTGGGGGATACAAGTTATTTACATCATTGGGGTTTTAAATGCTGAATCAGCAATATGCAAGAGTACATGGGGGGAGAGCATGGACTGCTTTAGAAAAAGGGGAAGGGGCAATAAAGAGTGAAATTATTATTTGCAGGAAAATTGATAGAACTTGAGAATATTAAGTRAAATATGCTGAACTCAAGAAAATCAAGGGTTGTATATTTTCTCTAATGTAGAAATTAGAAAAAAGTAAAGGTCGTAGTGGTAAGGAAAAAAATCTCATGAAAACAGGACAGCAGAGAAAGACCAGGGGAGGGAAGATGGGAAAGGGGAGGTGCTGGGGAACAAAACTGACTAAATTATARTTATATTGTATGAATGTATGAATATATATCAATAAATCCCACTATTACATATAATTATAATGCACTAATTTTAAAAAATAAAAGAAAAAGTGGGGGCAGCCAGGCATAGTGGCACATGCCTATAGTAGCCACTTGGGAGGTTGAGACAGATTGCTTAAGTCCAAGAGTTTGAAGACAGCTTGGGCAATACAGCAAGAAACCAAGTAAAAAAAAAAAAAAAAAAAAAAAGAGGGCAAGGAGCAGCACAGAAACATTAAAACCTGTACCAATTTCTTAAGAAAACTAGTGTGGTCATGATATTACCATATAGAAAGGATAATGCCTGGCAATGGGGCTTGGGCCCCACCTTCCTGCATCTAAAACTCCAGCTGGCTTGGACTTCTGGTAAACCCACAAGGAAGCCAAGATGCCATCTTACTCATTCAGATGCATTGATTGGGCTGGGATGTAGCTCAGTGGCAAAGCGTCTGCCTTGCATTCGCAAAGCCCTGGGTTCAACCCCCAGTTCCAAAAAAGACAAAAAAAAAAGAACCCCACCAGATGCATTGATTGCTGCTTCCCCACTATTCACAAAGGCCAATGTGGTATATTTGCATAATGGAATATTATTCAGCCATAAAAAGAATGAAATATGGCAACACAGATAGAACTAGAAAACATTCAGTGAAATAAACCAGGTACAGAGAGACAAATACCCTATGTTGTCATATGTGGAAGTTGATTACAGAGTAGAACAGCCTTCACTAGAAGATGTCAAGGATGGAGGCAGGAAAGACAGATGAAGGTTAGATAACAAGTACCAAAATACAAAATTGTTCTAGTTTCTATGACACAGCAGGGTGACTACAGTTTATAACAATATATCATATAAAGAACTAGAAGAGAGGAGTTCAAAGGTTCACAACACAAAGAAATGATAAACATTTAAGTAGATGGAAATGCCAYTCATCCTGATCATTACACATTTACACATGTGTATCAAATTATCATACTATATTCCATGTACTTATGCACAGTTTAGAAAAATATTTTTAAAAAGTGGCCATCTCCTCCACACAGCCTTTCTTACATTCCAACCTGGAGGTCAAAGGTCACAGAGAACCGGAATTTGGGGGGCAGGAGACAGGAGCACAGACACTATGTAGGGACCATGTCCAACTAGGACAGGCAGGGCCAAACAAATCCAGTTCCAATCACTGTTGAGAAATGCCAAGGGTGGTGTTTTGTGAGAGTTAACAGGTGTAAATATCTGATGGGGCTGATTCTCAGAACTATCCAACTAGCAGGAACAGGCCCAGTAAGATAGTACTCCCATGCAAAGGGTGAGAACACAGCTGGAAACCCAGCAGGAGCAGAGGACAAGTGCACAGGGCAAAGGCCCTTGTTCTGCTTGGGACAGGGGATATTGCTTGTGCTCCGACAAGGAACAAATAAGTCCAAAATGGATGCATCTATTAGCCCAGCTATGAAGTTGTCTGGAGTCATCTGGGGACACCACTCTGTTCTGATTGGGGGCTATGGGGTTCCTTAGCAACACCAGCCACTTGATCACAAAGTGTACTATTTCTTCTGCCTGGGCCGTGTTCACAGCCCATGGATGCGTGTTGGCAATCAGGAGAAAATGGAGGCTCTTCTGGGGTCTCAACTACCTGCTGTGAGGCACCTAACGATACATTCTGGACTCCCCCAGTCTCAGAAACTTCCTCCTCTGTTTTCTGGGTTTTGGAACCCTCTGAGTAAGGTAGGTCTGTCATCTGGGCAGAGAGGTTARGAGATTTTGAAAGTCTAGGGACAGGTTTGGTCCCTGCCTCCTCTGGCTGGAAGGGAACTAGCCCAACAGGACCAGGATCAAGGCTACAAGCAGAACTGGACAGTACAGGAACCTCCTGGGGCCCAGGCGTGCTCTCCTTGGCCAGAACATTTCTGGATGTAGAACAGGACCTAGACACAGCAGGGGTGGCCACAGCAGCTGAGACAGGCCTCGGGGGAGTACCCATGTTGAGTGCCAGGGCCTCTGAGAACCTAGCTAAATACTCTCTCACCACAGGCAGCTGCGGGGCCACTGGTGGCTGGCTCGAGGCTGGAGGCAAGGGGCAGGGCACTGCGGCATGGTACTCAGCAAAATTGTTTGGGTCTTGAATGACTTCCTCAAGATCCTGGCAGAACAGCTCATAATCATCAGGCAAGGGAAGGTCCCCATCAAGGTAAGGGGCTGCCCAGGCCCGGGCTCGTCCAGTCAGGCGTCCAAGAATCTCACAGACACGGCTTAGGTTGTCTTGGTAATGTTCAAAGCGGAAAGACATGTAATCACCTAGCTGGGCCAAAAAGCGATCCAGCAGCCATGGAGAGCCGTCAAAGGTGCCTGGATCTGAGCCAGGCACCCAGTGGAAGTCCATCCTGAGGGGCCGGGGGCCGAGCATTCKCACAGCTGGAAGGCCCCTTTCTGTGGGCTTACCACCAACAGAATCACTAGCTTTGCTCTTCTGTTCCATGGTTGTGCGTACACACACAGGGTCCCCACAGCAGGGCCGCTCAATCCAGGGATCCACAAGGGGAGTATATGCCACCCCAGGAGAGGCCTGGTCCATCTGCTGCCAAGGGTGTGCATTGGCGTAATTGGCAGCTGCCCGGATGGGAATGCGAGGGCCCTGACGACGGCGACGACCCCGAGGCATACTGGAAGCAGAGGGAAGAAAGGAGGAAGAGCCAATGCAGGGAGGTTGTGGACCCAGGCAACACAACAGGATAGGGATCAGCTGGACAGGATGTGGCAGACCCAGCAGTTCCAGGCAAATGCTGAGGACCAGGGGAGCTGTCAACTGCGACCTTAGGAGAGCAGAGGTGAGCCGAGGGGACTGTCAGACGCAGGCCATCATCCAAGGCAATCTGTCCAAAAACAAGGTGGGGAAGAGCAGGAACTAGGCCCAACCGTCACAGGCTGGCAGGAGAAGGCAACAAGCAAGCAAACCCTTGGCGCCCCACTAGGAGCTCTAGAGTGGAAGGAAGGGCCCGAGGGTTGGCCTGGAATGTCCAAGAAGGTAGGAAAATGTCACCTGTGACTTTCAAGGCAAAGGAGTAATGACATATGCTGTCAACCTCARGAGAATAAATGAGGTCAGATCAGAACTGTCCGGGAACTTCAGGACAATGACAATAACAACCTTTAAAAAGAGTCCTCCATTTGTGCCAAACACTGATCCCTCCTTKCCTGCTGTCAGCATGAGGTTGGTACTACTATTGTCACTGAGGCAAAGTGACTTGTCCTGCAGCTACACACCAACTCCTAAGTAACAAGAAGGCAGTGGAGAGGGTTGTAGAAGCCACAGGCCTAACCACAACATTATACAGGTTATAGACTATGCTTCAGTCTGTTAAGTAGGTTCCTGGCTGCCACAAACACTATAAACCACTAAGTACACACAGTCTGTCATAAGGTTCTTGAACATCCAGCATCAGGCACATCCAACAAAAGCAGGGTCCTCAGCTATCACTTGCTCCCTCCTGCCCTGTCCTTTCCCATGCRTTCTGCTGAGTGTCATCTGCAGGCAATGCCACCCCCACCCCAAACACATCTCCCTACATTTGCCATCCCAGGCTACAGTCAGCACCTGCAAAACCCTGGAATCCCTCTTGCTATGTCTGCGCCCACCATCCCAATCAACCATGCCAAGGGCCTGGAGAGACCCTCAAAGATGGCCAAACTGGCCCCCCTCCAAGCAGAAATCACCAAGGACACCAAACTCTAGGCAACTCAGTTCTCTTTTAGGGCAGGGAATCCTCTGGACCTCTCACTCTGTCCCAGCTCCTTCCTCAGTCTCTAGAAATAGAGACCCACTCACAACCTCCACAAAATTCTCTCTGCTTCATCCCTGCATACATATCCCAATCCTCCACCAGCTCACACCTAGGAGCACCATGGACTACACACACCTTTATGTCCAGTTTCCCATTTTACTATCTCAGTTCCCCCCATGGAGGTACAGCTATGTTGGTCTTTCTAACTAGTACCTCCCAGGTGGCCTGCAACACTCAAAAGCTGACTGAACTACCAGCACCTACCTCTGCCACCCAAGCTTTCTGGAATGACCCAGATATACCCCCCATTTCACCCTGAAAGCCCAGCCATTGACCCTGGCTTCTCACCCTACTACAGAAAAAAAACATACTGTGGCCTGCAGCAGCAGTACCCCACAAGATAGCTTATGAAAGGAGTCCATTCATGAATCCAGTCAAGTTTTTCACTGAGTTCTAAAAYGGCAGTGTCCATGATTCAGGCCCCAGTGCCCGCCATCTACTTAAGACTAGGTGTCAGGACCGCTCCCCCAAATCACATCCCATGTTATGAACCCTTAGTACTACCTAGACCTCTATCAGCCCTTCTTCCCTGTCTTCAACTTCTACCTGCACTAGGAAACTTAGCTGCCATCCTGCCCACTCACCTGCATACTCGTGTGCCCCTTGCAGTCTCCAGGAGACGGATCCCCTGTACTAGCCAGCCAGCACTGCTTTGCTTTAAGCATTCCTAACACCGGATCAGACTCTCATCATTTTGTGAACCTTGGCCGTCCCATTCCCACCTCACTTATCAGTATGTTGTTCACTCTTGCTTCTCTCCTCACCCTGCCAGGCACTGGGAAATTTTGGTCCTTCTCCTGAACAGTCAGCGCGCTACTACAAAAGCAGGAACCGCGGCGCGCGTGAATTTGCCTCCGCAAAGCCAAAGGCAGCGCCTGGAACGCTGGAACCTTCTTCACTCCTTAGAAACCTAGGGGTCCCGGGGAAAGAACTTGCCCAAAGCCGAAGGCAAACAACTGCACCGCTCGCCCGCCCTCCCCCAAGCACCCGCCCTCCCCCAAGCACCCGCCATGCAAGAAACATGAGCTCACAAGCCCCACAGCAATAAAGCCCACCTACCTGCAAATACGCTAGGTGCCCGCAGAGAGGGTCCAGAGATCCGAAACTGGAGACCGTAAGGACTGGCTTTTTTCTGAAAGCGAGTATCCACGCGGCCCCTAGAAAAAAGAGAACGAGATGAGCCTGAGCCAGGCAAAGCGGGAGCGGCGTCCTGAGACGGCGGGAACAGCCCCCAAATCTCCAAGGGCTCCCCAATCCCCGCCGCAGACCGAGAAACTTGAGCCCCGCCGGCCAGAAGCGCACCAAAACCCTGGCCCGAGACTCCGAGCGCTCCTCCGTGGAACGGGAGTCAGGAAAGAACAAAGGGTCACTGCGTTGGGCCTGCACACTGGGTTGCCTCGCCGGCCTCCCCAGCTCGCGCTGCAACACTGACCCTTCAGACGAAGTCCTGGACGCCCCTTCTAGAAGCAAGCGACCCAAAAGAAAACCGCGTCGGGTAGCCACGCCCCCAGCGTGCGCGCGGCAGCCCCATACGTCCCGGCTCAGGCTCGCGTGACAGCTCAAGCCAGCCGCCCAGTCGGGCCGCGCGCGCGCGTCCTCAGCCCGCCGCGCTTGCGCCTTGCGCCTTGGGGTCTCTGCTGCGCAGGCGCTTCTGGGACTTGCCAGCGCGGCAGTGAAGCGCGGGGGGTGATGGGAGCGCGCTCGGTACTACGCTGTGCCTAGTGCCACGAGTGCAGGCAGGGCCGCTTGCGCAGGCGCAGATCGGGTGGGCTGTATTTGTCCCTGGCCATAATCCCCTCTGACACTCCTGCAGCTAAGATGTAGAAGCCGACCAGTGTCATCWCAGTCCGCGATACTGAATCTGCTGGACACTGGGTGTCAGTAGGATGCTCCTGGCGGGGGTGAGGGTATCACGGAGAGTTTGGGTATAAAGGAGCTGTTGAGCCTATACCTAAGAGCTTTCCGAGAATAGCAGGTTTACAGAGTTCACTGTTTAACATAATTATACAATATATGTAATATTGTTAGTTGGGACCTGGATGTACATACTTCCAGCCCAGGTGTGAGAGGGAGAGCAGGCTGCGGCAAGGACTGGCCACCTGAATGCCTAGGGTCTTAAGGCAGGGGCTGTCATGGGTGGGTGGGTGCTGCCCTACCCCAGCTGAGGCTGGACCCAGAGAAGATTGGGCAGGCTGTAAAGGCCTTGCTACAGGGCCATAACCAGGCCAAGCGTGCCACCCAGCATTGGTGACCCCAGTCAGCACCCAGACGCTCTGGGAGCCAGGAAGAGATGAGATCGTGTTCTCCTCACTTGCCTGTACACAGGCTGTCCAACACCACTTCCCCGCAACTTCGCGGTACCTAGAAAAGGGTTGGGAGAGGGTACCAACACCCAGCCCAGTACCAAATGACCATGGGCCACGGATCTGGGTGCGGACCCAGGGGGGGCCGTTGGGTTCGGGGCAGGTGATTTGCTGAAAAACGAAGCTTCTAAAGGCAAACACACAACATATCTGTTCCCTTTTGGCCCTGGTCTGGTGACTCCTTTCATGAAAGATCTCTGAAATGTTATCTGCATTTATACCCAAACTCACTCCCTTTGATCCTTGAAACGCGAATCAAAGATCACATTGTACCTTCTCTGGTTCTGTGGGGGTTTTCAGTCGCCTGGGCCAAAAATAATAAAAGTGGCACCCAGCCAGGAAACGCCTTCTTGAAGTGTGAATGAAACTTGGATTTTTCGGTTGTATCTTTCCTAATTGACCTGATAATTTAAACTTCCTCCCTGGAGGGAGAAGGGGAGTTCCTGTGAATTCAGCTTACCTCAAGCTCCAGGCAGCTCCAGGCAGCTCAGGCCAACTCAGGGCCTACAGCAGAGTGGGCAGCAGGCTTGTGCATAACACTAATCAAACAAGGCAAAAAAAAAAAAAAAAAATTCTTTTTTTGTTCAGATTGCTTTTTTGTTGTTGTTTTAGGCCATTTTCCAGTGTGTGTGTGTGTGTGTGTGTGTGTGTATTGTACTAAGATATACAAAACAAAATTTACCATCTTAACCATTGTTAAGTATGCAATTCAGTAGCATTAAGTACACCGCTACCATTCCCAGACCTTTCTCATTACCCCAGTAACTGTCTTTAAAACTAGCTCTCATCCACCTCACCCCCAACCCCTTGCATCCACATTTTACATTCTATCTCTATGAATTTGACTACTGTAGGTACCTCACATATGTGGGCTCAAAATATTTGTGGCTCTCATATTTCACTTAGTATAATGTTTCCAGGGTGCACTCATGTTGTAACATGTGTTGGAATTTTACTTTTTAAAAGCTGTTGTGTATATATACATTTTGTTTATTTATTCATCTCTCCATGGACACTTGGTATTGTTTCCATCTTTTGGCAATTGTGAATAATGCTGCTGTGAATATTGTTGTACAAAATTCTGTTTTGAGTCCTTGGTTTCAATTCTTTTTAAGTATTTCCCCAAAAGAGTGGAATTTCCGGATCATATGGTAATTCTGTATCACTTTTTCCCCTTTTCTTATTTTATTTATTTACTTTTATTGGTTCTTTTTAATTATACATGACAGTGGAATCCATTTTAACATAATTATACAATATATGTAATATTGTATAATATATCTTGTTGTAATTCAGATCCCAGTACCTCTCCCTCCCCTTCCCTATTCCCGCTCTCTTCTTGCTCCCTTCCCTCTATTGATCTTTCTGCCATTTACCCATAGTTATATTTTTAAATTAATTTCCTATGGATATACACAATGGTAAGATCAACTGTGGCATATTCATATATGTACATAGGATCTATATCACTCTTTGAGGAACCACCAAAATGTTTTCCATAGTGGTTGCATCATTTTACATTCCCACCAACAATGCACAAGGGTTCCAGTTTCTCCACATTCTCCCCAACACTTGGTTATTTTCTGGGTTTTTCAACACTAGCCATACTGATAGATATTATGTGGTATCTCATAGTGGTTTTAATTTGCATTTCCCTAAATGACTAGTGATAGTCATTAGTGATAGTCAAATGTTATTGTCCATTTGTATGTCTTCACTGGAGAAAAGTCTATTTAAGTCATTCCTATTTTTAGTTGAGCTTTTGTTTATTTTTAAGTTGTAAAAGTTTTTTTAGATATTCTAGAGATTCATATGCATATAGATATATATAAACATAGATATATATTTTGCTAATATTTCTCCCATTCCATAGATTGCCTTTCATCCTATTGATAGTTTCCTTTGAAACACAGAATTTTAAAAATTTTACAAAGTCAAATTTGTCTACATGCTGCTTTAGTTGCTATACTTTTGATGTTACAGCCTAGAAATCACTGCCAAATCCAATATTGTGAAGATTTTGCCCTATGAATTTCTTCTAAGAGTTTTATAGTTTTAGGTTTTACATTTATGTCTCTGATCCATTTTGAATTAATATTCTGTTTGSTAAGGATCTGGCTTTGTTCTTTTGCATGTGAACATTCAATTCTTCCAGCACCATTTGTTATAAAGACTGTCCTTTCCCCATTGAATGATTTTGGTACCCTTGTCAAAAATCATACATGGGGCTGGGGCTAGGGCTCAGCTGTAGCATACTTCCTTGGCATGTGTGAGGCATTGGGTTCAATTCTCAGCATCACATATAAATAAATAAAATAAGAATCTATCAACAAAAAATAATAATTTAAATAAATATTTTTTWAAAAATCATATAAGCTAGGGCTGGGGTTGTAGCTCAGTGGTAAAGCGCTCAACCTAGCAYGTGTGAGGCCTTGGGTTAGATCCTCAGCACTACATAAAAATAAATAAATAAAGGTATTGTGTCCAACTACACCTAAATAATAAATTTTTTAAAAAATAATATATGCTGGGCATGATGGCACACTCCTGTAATCCTAGCAGCTTGGGAAGCTGAGGCAGGAGGATCACAAGTTCAATGCCAGCCTCAGCAATTTAGAGAGGCTCTAAGCAACTTGGAGAGACCCTGCCTCAAAATAAAAAATAAAAAGGGATGGAGATGTGGCTCAGTGGTTAAGTGCCCCTGGATTCAATCCCTGGTACCAAAAAAAAAAAAATTATATGTGAGAGTTTATTTCTAGACTTTCTATTAGTTCCATCAGTTTATGTGTCTTTTTATTTTTTTATTTTTATCTTTTGTACTGGAGATTGAACTCAGGGGCCCTTTACCACTGAGCTACATGCCCAGCCCTTTGTTTATTCTGAGATACAGTCTCACTTAGTTGCCCAGGTTGATCTCTGGAGTAGCTGGAATGCACCACTATTTCTGGCTATATGTTTGTCTTTATGCCATTACCACAATGTTTTGATTACTGTTGCTTGGTAGTATGCTTTCAAAAAAGGAAGTATGAGACCTTCAAGTTTGCTCCTTTTTGAGATTGTTTTGACTATTAGGGGTCCCTTGAGATTCCATATGAATTTCAGGATAGGTTTTTCTATCTCTGCAAAATCACCATGGATATTTTAATAATAATTCATTGAATCTTAGGTCACTTTGGATAGTATTGATATCTTAACAATACTGGGCTGGGATGAGCTCAGTGGTAGAACACTTGCCTAGTATGCATGAGACCCTRTGTATGATGCTCTTCTAGCTCTGGGGGAATATTATTTTAGTCTTTTATTTTCAGGTTTTATTTTATGTCTTTTCCTTTTATTTAGGTTTTCTTTCTTCCTTTCTTTCTTTCTTTCAATACTGAGGGTTGAACCCAGGTGTGCTTAACACTGAACCACATTCCCAGCCCTTTTTTATATTTTATTTAGAGACAAGGTCTCACTGAGTTGCTAGGTGCCTTGCTAAGTCTGAGGCTGGCTTTGAACTCACTATCCTCCTGCCTCAGCCTCCCAGGCAGCTGGGATTACAGATGTACACCACCATGCCTAGCTTATTTAGGTTTTCTTTTATTCCTTTTAGCAATTCAGGGGGTAGGGTGGTAGTGGGGATTTAACTCAGGGCAATTTACCACTGATTTACATTCCCCAGCTCTTTTTATGTTTTATTTTGAGACAGGGTCTTGCTAAATTGCTTAGGGCCTCGCTAAATTGCTGAGGCTGGCCTCAAACTTGTAATCCTCCTGCCTCAGCCTCCCAATTCACTGGGATCACAGTGGGGCACCACCACCCCAACGTAGTAGTTTTAACAATGCTTTCGAGGAACTTCATGGTTTTCTAGGTAAGTTCATAACATCTATGAACAAAGATTTTTACTTCTTTCTTTCCATTTTGGAACTCCTTTTCTTGCATAATTATTTTGGCTACAACTTCYAGTACTGTTTTAGTCAGCTTTTTTGCTTCTATGACCAAAAGACCTAATGAGAACAATTTTAGAAGAGGAAGCTCACGGTTTCAGAGGTTTCAGATGGCCCATATCTTTGCTCTGGGCCGC